TTATTTAGTGCTGGTGTATGTGAGGAGTGTCAAAGTAGTCCTTTCTTTTGCTAACATTGCAATAAACAGCAATATAGGGGCATAGTGAACAGAGCTTGAAAAAAGAATGTCTGTTGGTCATAATTCAGCAAACACACTCCTATGCTCTGCTTTGGTTATTATTATTACTGCTGCCAGTTTGATTCTTAGCACAAGTGTAATTTGGTAGATTAGATAGCACCTGGTAACTAGAGTTAACTGGTCATGTGAATGCCTCAGCCTTTTAAAAGAAGTTACATTATTTGTAGAACAATTTGGAAGAAAGACCTAAATTACCATAAAAATTAAAGCACCCAAAAGGAAACAAAAAACAGTGGGGCTTGATTCAAGAAGTCTGTGTACATGTTCTGAGCAGCCTTATAAAAAAAACACAGCAGAACTACTGGCCATTCTCAGGGCAGAAGAGGTGAAGATGAATCTTCCGTGATAAAATATTGCAGAAACCTATTGAAGTAGCTAAAGGACTTGAGACAGGCTCTTTATTTGAGTGGTTCTGGATCAGCACATCTGAAAAATGCCCTCTTAGCAGGGGCATTTGTTGTTTGTTTTGTAGAAGAGGACCATTTCACATATCCAGTTTAGCATTTGACCATGCAAACATCAGACTTGTGATGGAGGTGAATAATTCCTGGGTTGATCTGGTTGTGGAATTGAAAGGAGTAGGACTAGGTTTTTTTTTACTTGGATTAATCTACAGTGAAATTTTAGTTTGGAATCACAGCTGTAACTTCATTTTCTCTTGATCCCCTCTCCCTGAAGAGAGTTTAGCGTGCTAGCTTTAACTAGATTTCTGATTATGTGGGATACATGTTTACAGTCTGTTCCTGTTGGGGCATTATAGGATCTGGCTGTACAAGATGAGAAGCAGCTGTGGAGTCTTTCCAGCAGTGCATACTGGCGCAAGTTCAGCATTACACTGACACTTAGGCTGCTTGTGACTGGCTTCAGGTACAGGTAAAATGAATTCTCATCTAGCTACAGAAGACCACATAGACATACAAAAGGAGGAAAGACTTACTAGACTGTAGTGATTGACAGTTCCTGTTGAAGTGTATGATGATCTTAGCTCTGTTTATTTCTCTAGAGTCTGCATTGCATAAATACACTTAAAATTTGCAACATCTGTGGGGATGTTGAATCAAACCAAAAGCATATCAGTCATTTTATAGGACAAGCTTATGCTTATAAAAGTGTTGTAAGAACTATACAGGTCTATTTATTACCCTTGTTTATTGGGGAAGGATTTTTTTTAGAGATTTTGGTTGTCTCAGTGTCTTTGTTTTAAATAGGTTTTGATTTTTTGTTTCCTTTGCACATGCTGTCTCTTAAACTCATTTATATTTTTGCTATCCAGGACATCTGTGGCAGTATGTTCCCCTTGAATAAGATTACGTGAAAATGTGCTGCTTCTCTTCTAGAGCTTCTGGTTAGCTTAATAATTAAAAATATGTTGGTGTTATGGAGTGGAGAAAGTTATACTTCTGTTACGTAAGGAAGGTAGATGAAGGCTGGTTAGTCTATGCCTTCCATAAGCAGTCCATAATGATGAACCGCTATCTTAATTCTTTCTTGTAAGCTACTGATGATGGGTATTGGCTACGTACCAACTGAAAATACTTGGTTTGAAGTCTGATGTAAGGATAGAGTAACTCCATGTTTGTGGTATTATTTATGAAATGTATGGAAAATAGAACTGTAACACAAGGAGAAAACCCCATAGACATATTCCATATAACTGAATTAGTCTGACACAATAGCCTGAGTAGATGTTAAGCAGACACTTTAATTAGCTGTGAATGGTAATCTGTTGTGTGGTTGCTGAGTCAGGATGTATTTAAATCCAGATTAGTATTTTGTAGACTCTTTATCTTTACATAAACATTGGCCAGAACAGCATATACAAGTTGAGTAATGTTTTTTTTCTTTTTCACTGTAGTCTGTAGATTTGCTAAACATGGGACTGACCTAAAAAGTCCAGGTTAGATGTGTCACTTCAGTGTTTAGTGTGCTGACAGTATTTATGCTCATGTTTCTCTTCAAAGAATTTGGTATCCTTAAGTCTTTTACAACAATTTGTCAAAATTTTACCAAAAATATTGTGATTATTATAGCTTAAAACAGTGATTTGAACAAGGAAACATGAAGCAAATTGGGGATTAAAATAAATGAACGAGAGTCTTGATAGTCTGCTCAGTATATCGTATAATACTGCATATTCTTACTGGTGCTGTCTGCTCTGAGCTGTTATTGTAAAACCCACTCCTCTAGCTTCTGGCTGAGCAGCATGTGTAATGTCTGTGACAGTCTGAGCCCTTGGAGATGGAATGGGTTGAACAGAGTAGCCTATTCAGATAAATGTAGGGGGTTCATTCACATGGAAATCATTCCTGGCACAGCTGATACAAAGTATGAGTAAAAGAGGAAACAAAAAGGAGCCACAGTGAGCTGCACTCTCAGCACCAGTAAATCATCAGAACTTTCTTGTTCACTATACATGTAAGTTACTCTACATCATATCAGCACCACCCAAAGTTATGAGGTAATGGTGAGACATAGTCCTAGAGAAAGAGATTGGTTTAAATTAATTTGAAACCTGATTCTCATTTATGTGTATAAATAAACCATGCCATGCAATTAGAGCAGCAAACTTTAAAGCGAAGTGATTTTCATCTTCCTTAAAAGCGCATAGGTATTTTTCTATAGTACTGAAAAGCTGGATGAGTCTAGTTTAAATTGGTAGAGGGGAAAAAAGTGTAGCTAGCCAGTATCAGCAAAAGCCTAGGAAATCTGGGGTTTTCTGAATTTTGCCGCATCAGATGTGCTTCCAGTAGGAGGAGTTGTCATCATATACTTGCACTGTAAAAGTTATCACACTTGTGCTTTAATTGTTTAACTCATGAAATGCAATTGTACTTACAATGTGAAATATCTCTAAAGCTCGCCTATATCTTACTGGCTTGTTGTACTTACTGGTAATTGGTATCAACAGAAATATGAAAGGAAGCTTGCAGCTTGTAGTACCTTACAAGTATACTTATGTCTGTCCTTGCCTTTAGGGCAAAAATTGAGTGCATTTCCTAGAGATTACAATTTATTTTCCATTTTTCTGTTTTGCATAGAATATTGTGATAACTTGAAAACTTTGGAATTTTACCATATGTTTTAATAGTCACAGTTAAGGGAAAAGCTTGAAATGAACTGCCAGGATGTCTTGAAAGCCCAAGAAAGAGGCAAGAGAGGGAAAAGCTAAGTCTCATATGTGCATAGTCTTAAGACTTTTTGTTTACTTGTTTTACGCTGCAATACTGATAATGACTTAAAAATATGGTGTTTTAGAAGTCCTAAGGGGACATACTTTCATTCGTATTTTAAATTCAATGTAACACACTGCTTGGATTGAACTGCTGCTTTTGATCTATTTGTCACTCATGTTGCAAGACAGTGGTATACTTGGTGGTACAATTTTGCTTTGTTTCTCATACTCTTTTCCAGTACTTATCTCTTTTCATTAAATCATGAAATAGGATTGAAGTAAAATGTATGTTTTTGTAGTTTCTCAGTAATACAGCTTCTGCATAGAGTCCTGTGGGATAAAGAGATCTTAATCAAGCCTGTCCTTTCACTAAGAGAAGGGAACTGCTTTAGATGTATATCAACATGGTATGTTCAAAAGACTTTCAGATTGCTCTAGAGCAAAAGAAAACAGATGTTTAAACCTCTTGGGTATCACAAACTAGTACTGAAACTTTCTGTGAAGCTTTATTATTTCTCTTGTCTAAGGGCCTTGATTCAAACAGCTACGGTGACTTACAGTGCTGGCATTCCCCTGCTGCCTTTCCCATCCCTTTGCTGTAGTTGTTTCCACAACACAGTTGGCAGAAATAAGAAAGCCTGTGCCTCACTTGCTTTATTTCACAGTCCAAGGTGGAATAAAAGGGTGTATGTTTACATACAGACTGTGATCTGGATGGCAGAGGAGTCCCTAACCTGTAGCGGAATTTAAGAGGAGATTTTATGTCTCAGATTTGCACTTTTGCTGTTCGACCACTTCACCTTCATTGCTTCCTCTGTGCCAGCACAAGCATTTCTGTGGCTGTACAGTGAAAGAAATAAGAGACCTGATTTGACTTGAGATAACAACCGCTTCCTATGGGTCATTTTCTCTGCCAGATCAAGTCTCTGATCCCCTTCACTGCAGTTGAGTGAATGCTAGAGCTGGCACAGGAAAGAAATCAGTGCAAGGAAGGAACAAGCACTTAAGAAATACTTGTCTTAATCACTTGAGTTGGAGGCTAGTAATAGATGGTAGCTATGTAAATTGGCTTCAGCAGTTCTGCCACCAGACATGTAACCACTGCTGAAAGCAACTGAACACTAATGCTTGTAGTCAAATGAATTTGAGAGAAAAGCGAAGCTGTGTTTAGATAGTCTATTGGAATATGAATACATTTGTTCTATATTACAGCTTTTTTCACATCTCTTCAAAGTATAATAGCTAAAGGCTTATAGAACCGTAAGAAAATAGTTCCTTTGCAATATTTTAAGTATGCATTTGGTACAGACACAGTTTGCTTTGTACACCACAAATATTGCCATGTTTGTGAATAATAAATCTCCAGTGTTGTGCGGGACAGTGCCAAGCCATCGTTGTAACATTAGCCTTTCTTGTGTTATGTTCTTATGTTTTGTTTTTTCCTTTCCACCCCTGATGCCTTCTGCATGTGGTTTGTACAAAGGTCATATATCCATCTATGAAATTTTTTGAGGTAATTCTTCCACTATAAGATATTTTATGATGGAAGGCTGGAGATGGAATCTGACTGTAGTAATTATTACATGATGAGTAGTTGTTGCCTATTATTTCTTTTCATGCAGAGTTAACCAAAACTTCAAGGCTTTGCATATTGTTCCTATCTGAAGAAAAAAAAAATGCTGGTAGCTTAGCTCTGATGTCTTCCAGTTGTACTTATGCAATGTACCAAGCTCTGTTTTTGTGACTAGAAAATGATTGACACAGTAGGGGAAACAGGTTTTTCAGTCATAGTTTTCCACTCCTTTCAGCCACAGTCATTGGCCCAAGAAGTGCTTTCTCTGGACTGTCTAGTGCACAGTGCCAGTGTTTATTTGACCAGTGTCTGACACTTAGGTTCTGCTGATGGTTTGCTTTCCAGGTATTTTTGCTGCTTCTGTCTCTTGCCCTGTCTTGCAGACACCCTTCCCTTTTGCTATAATTAAAGATGGAAATGGCTTTATAATACACTGGTTTTGATCAGTGCATTACCAGCTTATAGCCTGATTAGATTAGGAGAACCATGCTAACTAGAAAATTTCTCTTTGGTTTAAGGCAGTATACTAGGTCAAATTTCACAGTAACTGTGGCAGTTTACCATAACTATATTAATAAATCTTGGAGAAGGTTACTTTTCTCGCTAAGATCTTATCACTGCCATAGTAGTGAAATCAACTTTGGGTTATTGATCAGTGTCTCTGACTTTCTCACTCTGCATTTAGTATTCCTTTTACAGAACAAGTGCTGAGATTTTTCCAAAATACACAATTTACTGTCTTAAACTGTATCACTGACAATGTGCTTTACAGAAACTGGCAAATTGTTTAGAGAAGGGAGAGGAGAAATAGAAACATAACCTGGGCTGTAAAAGAATAGATGTATTCAGATGGTAAAATCTGAGATGTGGCATCACAAGCATCATGACCATTATCAGCTTTTCTAGTTTTTCATTCTATCTACTGCATTCAGAAACTTTCTGCCATTCAAATATGCATTATAATTGAACATTAAGAAATACATGTCTAAACTGCTTCGTTAAGTATGAATGGTTGTGATCAGCAAGGAGAGCAGACCTTTGGCCAGTGTCATTAGTTTGTGCTGCAGTATAGGACCTGAGGTGTATAGAATGTTGCATGGGAAGGTTAGCTTTACTGAGGCTGTAATTTAGAGAGTTTGTTGATCTCAGCGGTGCCAGAGGAAAATCTAAGTACATCTGAGTTCATCTGAAAACAAAACTGGTGGGCCCTTGATTCAAGGAGCTAGTTAGGAAGGTATGCCAAGGTCAAGTGCTAAAAATCCTTAATAAAACTCATACAGTTGTCCAATAAATAATTTTTCCCTAAGAAATGGATGTGTCACAGCAAGAGGCTAGTCTTTATTTGGAAGTACAATACAAGCCAATTTGCTGAAGTAGAAAAGGTGCTACAAGAGAAATGACTTTGCAGATGAGATGAAATAGCTGGTTCACCTGAGTAACTGGCTAGAACAGGATTACACCATGATACATGGCTTGCTCCTTGTCATTTATCTCCCCTCAGATGTAGGAACTAATTTTTCATTCCCAGGGAAGTCTGAAAACAGAGCATTAATGGTTATCCCTGGAATACTTTCTATTTCCATATAGTGATTTGGAGTTACTCAACCTTGGTGTCTTTGCAATACATACATATGAGATTTTCAGAAATGACATTGAAGCTAATTTGGCAAAACCATAGCTGAATTAAGAGTCCAGCTTGTGTCTGGAGTATAACAAGCCAACATCATCAGCAGAATCTTTTGATAGTTCTGGGATATTGTGATAAAAGAAAGAAGAAAACCAGTGAATTATCAGTAAATCATTGCAGTGTGAACATTGAATTTAAAAGCTACATATTGAAAAACCTTTCTCTATGATTTTCCTTCAAATATTCCCCAATATGTATGACTGTAACTGTGAGCATGTTTTTATGATAATACAGAAAGCCATGTTCAGCTCTCTAGCTCAGAAGTGCCACTGTAGGAACCTCCCATTATTATCCATTTGCTAACTTTCTGGGAGCTATTTCATTTCACAAAAGCCTCTGAACAGCTGGTGTTCAGAAACAGAACTGTACAAAACCAAGGCTGGTTTTGGATTGTCTATTTTGCTGTAAAAAAACCCTGAAATTGTATAAATAAGTAGATAGTACTGCAAGACCTTCTGCATAAGGATTTCAGAATACCATAACTTCACTCTTCAGCTTGTTAAGTAGTAACTGAAGAAACAGTTTTACAGAATGAATAGAAGCAAGTCATGGAGCAACCCTGGGTTTATCCCTGACTAACCCTATGATGGTCTCTTTATTGCAGGAAACCTGAGATGTACAGGAAGTGAGTCTTTAGAATGGGTAAATAGAACACAGATTTTGTATTGCCCTCTGATACATCTGCTGTCTTATATCATTGCTTCTGTCATTCTTCTGGAAAGAAAAGATCCTCTTTTCTTAGTGGGTGAAAAAAATATATGCCCAATGTCTGCTACACACTTTGCTGGTGTGTTTGTAATTGTGTTTCGGATGCTAAAAAATGTTGGCATTACATCCCCTAAGCAACAGTTGATCCTATTTTCAGAAAAAAAAAGAAGTAAGTGTAAAAGTAGGATAATAGGAAACTCCCTCTGCCTAAACCTAGTTCTCATAATCATATATATATATATGAGGAGTCTTCTGCAACTTATTTTGTAATTCCATTTTACTTTTAACCTTGATCAGGCTTTCAATATGTCTTATGTCCTGACCACTAATTTGTACCCTGCATCTAATTAACAATGTAATATTGGTTGAATAAGAAATGCTTGAGTTAATGTTTCTGTTACCTTTCTTCACCAAAACTACCATTATCAGAAGGGTCAGAAAGGCAGTTAGTTACTTTGTGGAAGAAATGAGGTTATTTTTTATCCCACTTCACATGTAAGAGCAAATTTTTCATTCAAACAGTAGTGAAAAATCTAGACAAGCATCAACAAAGACTTAAAAGTATGCCAGAAAATAATCCCATTCAGAGCTGTAAGTGCAGTACATTTGAAAACACTGCGTCTTGTATCTCTTAGTATCCTGTCATATAAGGTTAACTAATTTTCTGCTTGCACGTGAATTTTTGGTGGTTTTGGGGGTGGTGTTCATTTGCCATAAATTAATAACAGAGCAAATGCAGCTGGCCAAGTAAGACAAGTAAGATTAGATAGCCACTGTTTATCACTATTGCTTAAAGAGAATGTTGCTCTGTGGAAATTCTGGGATTCCTTTCATGCTTATTGCAGAATTTATCTCTGTTCTGGAATGGTAATTATGGTGACTCTCTACCAATTCTTGTAGATATTGTTTAACTGTCATCTACTAGCATAGAAGCCAAGTATTCAACCTGAAATGTCAAATTTATCGTCTTAAAAATATTGTTCCTTTGGAAGTTGTTAAACAGTTTTGAAAACAAGTTCTTTTTTGACAAAAAACCTGAAATCTGTGACTAAATTAAAAGAGTATGAACCAAAGAGAGCCATCTGTTCATGGTTTTACTAACATCCTAACCAACTAACTGTGTTTTCCTTTTATCTCTCTGAAAATCATATGCCTTTCATGCTGACCAACTTGCAATCTGAAAGTACCTGTTTAAAGCAAGCCAATAAATGAAAGATTTCAGTGGCTGAGCTTGTCCTTGCCTCACATAAGAATGTTCTCTGTGGTTTTAACATTCCTCAGAGAAATTCTTTTGCAGTGTGTCCACTTAATGTTGAGATTTTCTGGTCCATGTAACTTCACAGGCTGTTCTTAGTTACTATACTACCAACATTCTTTAGATATATGCTTGTCATCCGTAGCCTGCAATATATTCACAATGATAAAAACACTGTAATGAAGCAAGTAATATAGCAGAGTATTCCAGTGGCTGATAGAGGGATTTCACCATGTGATTTGTGAATTAGCAGGTTTGTTCTTTAATAGCTCATTAAATGATGAATTCCAGGATCACATCTTATGCAATATAGTGTTGTATGAGTATCTGAAGTGTTGACCATTCCGAGGTTGATCATTGAAGTTCATAGTAGCTTCCAGAAAGGTATCTGGTACAAAACACTGTGTGTCTTAGAGTACTTGTTCTAATTTAAATGCTTTTAAATTATGTCTAGGAATGTATCATACTTCAATACAGTACTGCTACTGTGGCCTGCCTTTCTGCAGGACATATTTTATGTGTTGCAATATGTAGTGTAAAAAAAGAAAAATAGAAGCTTCAGCACTTTAGAATAGTGTTCCAAGAACTCTAAAAATGCTAAACATCTTTCCCTGTCTGACGTAAAGCAACACTGGCTCTTTGCAGACCATAACATGTCAGCCTTTAGGCAGCTTCTTGTCATGTGCTCAGAGTAGACAGATGTGTTGGAACAAGTGATCTGTGGCTGGAAAGTCATCATTCCAGTTGGTTTATGGAGAGCTAATGAGTAAGTGCTTTTCCTGAAGCATAGAGGAGAGGAAAATCTTAAAAAAAAAAACCCAAACAACAAAACAAAACACAAAACCAAAAACCAGAAATCAGAAATCAAAAATGTACAATTAAAGACACTACATGCCTGAACATGAGCATTTCCTGCTTCTGGCATCAGTGCTGTGATAGATGTTTAGGTCATAACGTACATGTTTAGAATTGGGCATCCTTGAATTTATTTAGGATACGTTCAAACTTGCAAATAGAAATCTTGAACTCAGCTATTCTTTGGAAGCTTAAATATTTTTTATGTAGATCTTGCACAACTGCTTACATGGAGCAGTGATGATTTGAGAATATTTTACACATCTACTTTTTTTGTCTTCCTGTGTCTATCATATCCATCTTAATGTGTATCTTTTATTTCATTTTAGCACTTGAAAAAATTACAAGTATTTTTATTTACATGCAACTCAAATTTGGATGACATCATAGAATCATTGAGTAATTTGGGTTGGAAGGAACTTTCAAAGCTCATCTAATCCAACCCGCTGCAATGAGCAGGGACATCTTTAACTAGAACAGGTTGACCACATAAACCTGGCCTTAAGGAAGCAATGAGGATGTACAAACTGCATCATGATGGAGAGCAAACTGTAAATATCCTGCAGCTGTTTTTTGTGTAGAAATTCTTCATGATAGGTTGACTTGGGTTATGTTCATACCTTGGACAAATACTCACCACAGAATCTTTTGCATTTTGATTGTCATGCAGAATGTGCAGTTCCATTTAATTCCTTCCTGTTCCTACAGATAACACTGCCCCTTTTGCTATTCCTCTTCATTTTATGCATGGTCATGTGTTACGTATGTAAGAAGAATGGCATTATCACTGAATTAGCATATTGAGGAACTTTCTCTTGGAATACAAAGCCTGAGTGTTTTAAAATTACTACAACTATATTGAGTGATTCATCTTCTTCTAAAAGATTAATTCAACTGTGACAGCTAAACAAAATACAGTCTTCACCATTCCCTGTTTGTGTGAAGAGCACAATGAAACGAGTTAAATGTAGTAGCCATAATGCATGGATAACTGCCTATTGCCAAGCAGCCAAGAAAGTATTAATCTCTTTAGTCATAATGGTAGAACTTCTATGCTATTAACTACTTTATGAGTTGTTCTGTCATTTATCATTCCTAAGCAATAGTATTAGTAATGATGTTTTATTTATGTTTTTCAGAGTCAAAGGCATTGTGCAGTGAGGGAATAGATAATGAAGGATCTACCCATTAGTAACTGGCTGAGCCAGCTTGGTCTTGCAGAATATTGCATGCTTTTTGAACAATATGATGGCATAGAGGTAGGAACTAGCTTTTTCAATAAAATTCTTGAGAAAATGTCAAGCAAAATGATTTAATGAAAGTGATTAATGTTCCATACTATGATGTTGGAACAAAAAACCTGAAGGCTGATAGTTTGTGTTTGTCTTAGGAAAGGGGGAAATAAAACCCATGCCTTTTGTAACCGTGTACTAAGACTCCCAGAGAAATAATGTTTATTGGAGAGCTAGGCAAAATGAACATTGTACTGTTTCTAGTGCTGCTTGCCCTATGTTAGTTGTGGCTGTCTCAGATATGGTAACAAATGTATATGTTCACAAAAATAAGAACATATGAATAACGTTTGTTTTGTAAAAGTTAACAACAATGTTTCTTTCGTAAAATACAGTATTAAATAAAACATACACTTTTGTGCCTATTGTTATATGATGTTGTTTCTAGATAAATGGGTACTATGTGGTTTAAGAATAATCTCTGTTGAGCAAATACCATGTTACAGAAGGGCCTTGCATCAGTCATCTTGAAGATCCCTAGAAATTTATATAGAAATTCTTAGGAAGCCCTTTTCCCACAGGTCTTTCTTGATCAAAATTTCCTTTTATTGTCCATTTCTTGTTTTCAGTTCTTATCATCCATATATAGAATTATTGAACTTGCATACTAGATCATCAATTAAATGCTTCTTTGACATACTTTAGTTCGGTCTCACTGTATTTCCAGTTCAGAACATTTGTGTACAAAAAAAAACAACCCACAACTGAATATTCTTATCAAGTCAAAAGATCTTTGG